TCTATAAAATGCATTGCTGTTCTGTTGTAAGTGATCTTAAAGATTCCTAAATGCATCTACTTCTGGAAGGCCAAATAAAGTGCTTTTGCTTTCGCACTGAAACACACAGCATCTCCCTGACATGCTGCTTCAACACTGCGGTTACTGAAACCACGCCTTCTTTCTTTGCGTGCACATTTGGGCGGCATTATGCAAATATTTCCACATAGTGAGGTAGATATGTGGGGGCGTGTTAGAACGAGCCGTTTTAGGGGGGCGTGGCAGAGTCTTAACTTTGATAAAGAATATCTCTTTGGTTTTGAGACTTTAGTCTTTGCAACTTCAGGGATCTTATCTATGCACAATCAGCTTGTAACACTCCAAAGAGAAAGGAAAACTTGAAATCGCATCATATGACCCCTTTAAAGGTAATTATTCATTATTAAAATCCAATTATTATTATTTTTTAAATAATAATATATTATTAGTATTATCATTATTACAATAACAATAAAAAATAATATATTATTATCATTATTACACTAACATTAATAATATTAATAAATGAATAATAATTTTAATAATAATAATAATAAATAATGTTATAATAAATATAATCAAATTTGACCTTTTTCACACAGTGCAAGGTGATTGGTAGTCATCATATTTTGGGATTCTTGGCATCAAATTTTTAAAACCCTTGACATGAATAGAAAGTCTCTCTAAAAGGGGTATTGTACATGAAGCTTAATTTGCATAGAACTGAGGTGTCTTTGAAGCGCATGAGAATTTAAATACTCAGTGTAGTGCTATAGCGACGCATTTAGCACTTGGTTGAAATGGTTTGTGGGTGCTTAGTGAATAAGATACAGGTTTTTGTGCTGAAAATGCATTAAATTCACCCATTAGAATTTTGAACGTGGCTGTTTGGTTTTCTGAGAGCCAGTATTTACCACCACATTGCTGGTGTGCACATTGAGTCAGCTTTTGTTCCTGGCTTGTTTGTGAACATGTTAGTGTGTAATGATGACAGATATAGATATGACTTATGAGAGAGCAGTCTGCTTTGGTGTTGCTGGGATGAACAATAGTGTTCTGATCTAAGTGGATGCATCTCTCCCTGCACTTGGAGCTCATTTGTGCATCTCTCTCCATGGAGATCTGCCAGAATGAAACTGTTGTGCCGGAGTAAAATGTATCAAGCTGATTGCCAGGGAAAGAAAATCCTAATTCCAAAGCACCCCCCACACATGGTTTTATTGTTATTCTAAGAAGGGTCCAAAATGTACTTGTCTGCCACACAGGCCAGGGCTGATGAATTGAGAACATTTACCAACCAATAAATATTTCATACAAGCCATGAAACTAGGTTTTGTTTTATTATCATAAAAAAAATGCAGAAAATGCCTAAAAATGCCAAAAAAAATATATAATAATAATTTAATTTACTTACCCTTGTATCGTTCCAAACCTGTATTTCTTCACGCAAAAAATATTTTGCAAAAAGAAAGTCAATTGGGTCCAATGTTGTTTGACCCCCAGCGTTCATCAAAATAATTTATTTTGTGCTGAGTAGAAAAAAGAAATTCATACAGGTTTGGGAGGGCATGAAAATGAGTAAATTATAAAGGAATTCTTAAGTAATGAACATTGACAAGCTAGCCATAATAATTTTGTTCCTCATATTTTTGTTTTGGTGGCCTAATTTTTTGTGAAATATATTCCAAATATGTTTCGCCACATTCTGAATAAATCCTGATGGGAAAGCTTCCAGTTTGGTAAAAGTTAAGAAGAAACATGTCACAACAGGATGGTTTCTTTGATAGACAGTAGTCATCTATTTAAATAATGCACATCTTTTACATCAGGGAGAGTCAAACTATTTTTTATTTGATTTAAATTAGACTGTCTAGCTAATTTGATTTAAATGATGTTGCAGTTCCTAAGACAGTTACCAGCCAAGTGGTGACTAACCCAATTTTTACTTTTGCATTTGGCACTCGACGAGTGTTAATTTTGGACCCTGTTGCCATGTATCATCCCACAGCACAGCGATACAGGAATTCTGTCTCTTCTCGCCTCAAAATAAATACCTGAAATTCCCAGATCTGCTCTAGAAAAGTCACGGGCATCCGGCGCTGCTCCCCGAGCAGGTAGAATCTGACACACCTGTCAGCACCAGGTGTGCTTTCCCCACGTAGCCAATCGGCTGCAGTGTCCCCATAACCATCTGTCACAGACGTTCAGCTCAGCCGACCATGATGGGAGCATGATGCGATCTGCATATTACAGGTCTTTTTTAAGAAATGTAGTTCCCTTCAATGCTCTCACCGCCAGCTCCTTCTCTTTTTGCTTTGTCGCTGTCAGTTCTGTCATTGCTCTACACACAATAGGTTTGATGCCTGCCTATATGCACGCCACGGGTGTCTCGGTGATGGTTTTATCTTGTGGAAGTGCTGAGGGCTCTGGGTTAAGATTGTAGGATCATTAACTCTGTGACTGAGAGGAACCAAACCGCAGGAATCCATATCACCAGCCTCTTGTTGCCTAGATACAGCACTGCACTGTCTACAGGGTTATTTTAAGCCTTTTAAGGACATACATGTGAGAGTGTATGTAGCCCGTATGTGAACCCAGCCAGCTTCCTATGCGTATAAAATCATTCCCTCCACCGTGTGCTGTTTTCCATGTTTGCGTAGTACTCCACTGGCGTCACACCACCCCAGATGAGTGAGAATGAGGCTAAGGAGAGATGTCTCCCCCCGCTGGCCCTGTTCTCTGTGTGCATCGTGAGCCATTTGTTCAGCCTGCTGGAAGTGAGAGCTCCTTAATGTCAAATCACCCTGCAGTCTTAAAGTGGTCCAGCTGTACTCACACTGAGTCAAGCAGGAAGCAACTGGCTCAGATGCAGAGGGGTCAAAGGGCAAGTTCTCAAAACAGAGGCAGACAGAAGCAGAGGAGGGAATCAATATCCCTTGCTTCTGCTGTCAATATGTGCTTTCTTTCCTTCGGAATCCAACTACTTTTGACTTGTTTTTCAAACTACACTGTAAACATGATTTGATGTCTAGTTGGACTGCTTTCAGGAATTTTCTGTGACTGTTTACTTACCGTCACGTTTGTGCTTGTCCCTTAAATGTCCTCTTTACAGCTCCAAAAAGGTAACAAATTTACCATTCACCATTTAAAGGGATGGTTCACCCAAAAATGAAAATTAACCCATGATTTACTCACCCTAAAGCCATCCTATATGACTTTCTTCTTTTAGATGAATACAATCAGAGTTACATTAAAAGATGTCCTGGCTCTTCCAAGCTTTATAATGTCAGTGAATGGTGGTTGAGATTTTGAAGCAAAATAAAGTGCATCCAATTATCTTAAAAAGTGTTCCACACAGCTCTGGGGGGTGGGGGGGGGTTAATAAAGAGTGTTAATAAAGTAGAAAAAGCGACTGAATTAATTCACCAAAACTTTTTGAAAACTGCTAAGAATAAAAATGAGCTCACCGATGCGCGGGACGCAATGAAAGAGAGGAAGCGGCCAGAAGAAGCAGTGAAATGTAACAACATCACTGACCTGTTCAGGGCTTCAAGTGCCGGTCAGCTTCATCTGTAAATACGCTAGATAGTTTTGTCTTTATTAAGTATTAAACTACTAGTTTCTGTTAGGCTATCAGTAGCACCCCATTATTATCATCATTCAGAATACTGTGCTAAAGGACATCAATATCGATTGTAAAGTTACATTAAAAAATTTAGCAGAGACGGATATTCACATGGATATTGTACAGGGAGGGAGGGAGCTAGAGCAGACAGCAACACAAAAATAATGAGTAACAGGCTCACAGCCTAATAATTCAATAGTGTTGTAGACTTTTTCAACAAGTATATTGTACTAATTTTGACATTTAGGCACTTTAGAAACTGTGTTTTAGTACACTACCAGTCAAAAGGTTTTGATCATTAAGATTTGTAATGTTTTTTTTAAAGAAGTCTCTTCTGCTCACCAAGCCTTCATTTATTTGATCCAAAATACAGCAAAAACTGTAATATTGTGAAATATTTTTATTAAAATGTATTTTATTCCTGTGATTTCAAAGCTGAATTTTCAGCATCATTACTCCAGTCTTCAGTGTCACATGATCCTTCAGAAATCATTTTAACATTCTGATTTGCTGCTCAAAAAACATTTATTATTATTATGTTAAAAACAGATACAAAAGTTTTTCAAAAGCTTTTTGATCACAGGAATAAATGACATTATAAATATATATTCCAATCGAAAGCAGTTATTTTAAAAAGTAAAAATATTTCACAATATTACTGCTCTTGCTGTAATTTGTATCAAATAAATGCAGGCTTGTTAATTATTCATATTTCCCCATGAGCTGATTCGCTACAGTGACCAGAAGAGACTTATTTAAAAAACATTAAAAATCTTACTGTTCAAAAACTTTTGACTGGTAGTTTATATTTGTATGAAATTTAGGTTTATTAAATATAGGGTATTGAAGTCATTGTAAGATAAATAACATTCTTTGCTAACAAACTGAAATTAGGTGTATGTTTTCAACAAGGTGTGTGTGGGGGGGGGGGGGGGGAATGAAGAAAAGGCAAAGGCAAGTGAAGCTGCAGTGCAGGAGAGAGCCTTTCATTATTTTCCACTGCCCCAGACTAAGGATTTAGACCTTTTTTATATGATGGCCATACAAATAATATTGTATGGTTTCAGAAATTGTTGTGGATGTATACAGGATATAGGCTATATACAGGAAATAAGGGGCCAAAATAACAGCTTGTCACTGGAACAGGACCCTTAAAAGGACATATTTTTTCTTTTCTTTTTTTACCCCTAATAGGTAGGCCTACAAATTAGTACCTTAAGGGTACGAATTACTACTCTTAAAAGAATAAGAGTAACAATTTAAGGAATTAATCATTTGTATTCTATAATATTTTTTTCTATATTTTCCTAATGACAATTTTAGAATAGGTTTATACAAACACATAATAAGGCAGAATAGTTTCTATACTGTATTAAATGTTATGTCAATTAGCACTGCATTATTCATATACTATATTTATTACCTCGAAATGATCTGAAATTACCTTTTTAGCTACAGCAATAGCGGGATGCCTTTGTCCATATTAGGGATTTCCTGCAAGTCATAAGTTATTACTTCTACTAGGCCGTTTTGGACTTTCTGCAGGAGAGCGCCTTCCAGCTTCCAGTATGAATGAAACATGCACTGTTTAGCACTCCGTAATGTTCACATCGTCTCGTTTTGGATATGAATAAATCGTCCGGTCGTACATAGACTATCTTGTTTCTTCGCCCATGTGCACACACATCCAAAGCACGCACACAGAAAAAGTGATTTTAAATGCATCTGATTTACAGATAAATCATAGTTGATCTATCAGCCAGATGCACATAAAAATGCATGCCCTCTTATTTCAATGTTTTTGTTAATGTTGAGGTTGTAAATGATGTTTTTACCATTCAACTGAACTATGTGCATGTATTTTAGCCACTTACATTGTTCTTGCTCCATCCATGCAATAACTGCATCCTTCTATCAACCGAGTTTCTATTTACTTATACTGCTGTGTAATATCAACGGTATGACCCATTTCAGGAGCTGACAAAATCAGACCTGTCTGTTATTGGTTGAAGCGCAGGGCTCCACCCCAGCAGTTTCAAAAGTGCCCGTCAAATGCTGGCTCGTTTCTCCATCGGCGCCACCTTTGTACTTGTTTTTTGTTTTTTTTGTACTTTGTACTTTTGGTGAAAAATAAATGTAGCGAAGTTGAATACTTTAGTTTTATTCTACTCAAATAAAAGTAAAAGTACCACAATTTAATTACACTCAAGAGAGTAGAAAAAAATAAAAAAATGTACTCAAGTACTGTAACGAAAGTATTTGTAATTAGTTACTTTTAGTATCCATTGGTTCCATAAATTATAAAGTGTGCATCCTTGTTGTTGCTCTACTTCTAATTACAGCTCATGCAACAGCTGCATGGTGTTGCATTAAACAAAGACTGTACAATTTGAGTGCATGCTTTTTTACTTTGGGTGCTGTTCAAAACATAAAACAAACCTGTGTAAGTCCATTAAACATTTCATAAACAATTTCCCATATAAATGTTCACAGGGGAGTTGCTGTATTTATGTCTCTTTGTAGAGCCTGGCAAAATTTACAGGAGGCTATAGACTTTCATAGGCAGTTTTGGAGCAGGAATTGATTTTTTATTTTTTTAATTACTGGATAAACTTGGGCTTGTTCCGTAAAGTACTCATGCAGCAAAAAGCATAGATGGCTCTGAAAGCGTGCAGTTGAGTGCTTGGAGAGGTTTTGATAAGTTTGGAGGAGCTGGTCATGGTGCTGAAGTACTGAGAACACAAGAAGCAAACTGCTCTCAGCAGCAGCATAATAAGAGCAATCATGTACGCTTGTACTTTCAACTGTCATCACGTCATGGGATCATATGATCCTTGAGAACTAATTGGTTCTTATGTGAAATATGAAGCTGGTGTTACGTCTGCTCCAAAAAGTTTGTAGTATTTTATTTTATATTTTATTTTATTTTGTGTACATGAAAATATAGTCACGTTTATATTTTAGGAAGGGGGGGTGAGGGCCCTCTCCAGACGAGCATGGTATTTAGGGGTCTTTGGAATTAAAAGGTTTGAAAAATGCTGTCGTGCCATTAGCTTAGCAACAGTAGGAACACTTTTGAGGGTGCTGGATGTTGCAGACAGTGAGGCAACACTTTAGGTTTTGAAACAGATTGTGTCTTGTTGTGTTGAAATATTGATGTCTTTAATGGCTATTGTAATAGCGCATTATTTTTGAATCAGAGGGATTTTTGTTGGTGTCTAGAGAGAAAGCTGATTGGTCCCCTTAGTGTTGCACACATGCATCCACCGTCTTTGAATCCAATGCCAAGATCAATGTCTTCACTAATCGAACCCCATTTCCTTTCTGTGAGCAGTCTGGCTCTCACTCTCCACTGTCTGTATCATCCTGGCAGGTTTTACTGAATTCACAGCCAATAAAGTGGCATTCAGATGGTCAGAGGTGCCTGGAGATAACAGAGTGTCGATACTATAGTCCTACAAGCTCCTGAGCTGCTTCAGAATGACTTCCTAATGAATTAACTTACCAGAATGTCATTATTTACTCATTGCATTTCATAGAATGAGTCACATTAACTAGTTCCTCCTCCAAATACATATAAGTTAACTTACTCAATGTTTCAAATTAAATGCAGTTAACTTGTTTGTCTAGTACAAAATAAAAATCTTAAGTTCTACTAAATCTCAAAAATGTATAATTTTGATGCAACTGATTACCTCAGCTTTTTGGAATTCTGCTAACCTGATTTTGGTCATTTGTATGCTAGGACTGTCAGTTCTGCAGAAGGTTCTGGACACAGCAGCGGAGCATAACTGGCTGGTGACCTCCGTGAATGTTGAGACAATGACAGAAGCGTCCTTCCTCAAAGTGTTCCAGGACCTGGACAAAAAGAAGGAGGGCCAGATCATCATCGACTGTGAGCTGGAGAGACTCACCTCCATCCTGAAGAAGGTAATTGGCTCTCACTAATCTTATTATAGTCATACATGCTGTCAGGTGCTCCAAATGAATGAGGAATCAATTTTTGGATCCAAATTGAGATTGCTCTAAATGTACTAAGACCACTTAAATACGTCACTTAAAAAAAGCTAGTCATAGCTACACAAACAGTCAGCTTTAATGCTGCTAATAACCATGCCATTATGAGTATATATCAGTAATCATCTGAAGGTTCAGATGACTCAACTTGTAATTCAGATGTAATTCAGATCTGGAATACTCGGTGAAGCCTGTGGGCACTCGAATCAGATGGAGTGGCCTATGCAGCAGGCCCCAAGATGCTCTCTTTCTCTCTCTCAAAAAGTGCCAAGGACGGAGCAGATAAATAACACTGGGCTGACATTTGGGGTTGGCAGCGGAGCCATAGTGACGCGTCACTTTCTCTGTCACCTCTCTCCGCTGCCTGGAGGAGGAGGAAGCGTCCTGTTACTATAATTAATGAGAGCGTGCCTTTTCTTCCCTTTCGCTCCTTTCCTCTATTTCATGAATCAAACAGAAGACCCTCGACAGGCCGTGTTGTTATTGATAGCATGGTACCCACAGTTAAGGCTGTTGCATCATTTGGTGGCAATTTGCACAGCACGCCTAGACAAATTTTTCCTCTCTGAAAGCAATCATCCATCACCATGCGTCCACCAATCATACCGTAAAACAGCATTGGTGTAATTTTCCCCCACTTTGATTCACATTCTTTCACTAACACCAGGGGCCAGAGGGTTTAATTGAGGAAAAACTCTCTGTGCATATTTTTCATCACTCTCTAAGCATGCAAAATGTTGTGTGGAACATTTAAGTAGGTATATTTTAAAGACTCCATAAAGTAGTTTGATAAACAGAAATGTACTTTCTTCAAAAAAATAGAAAGTTACAGCATGTCATACTTGGAAAAACTTAATATATTTAAAAATACATTTATTTCATACTAAGTAGTTATATTTACTGACATATCACTGGAGACTTGATATGATAATTATACTGATAATATATCAGTATAATATATCATAAAAAATGATAATTTCCTTTAACCAGGAAATTAACGTTCTTAGAATTGACAAGACGGTTGACCCTGAGTGGTCAGCTAAATATCTACAGTGGATCTAAAATATTAATAATTAATCATAATTAGTTATGGTTAATTATTCATATTTCCTGTTGTGAGCTAAATTCGCTACATTATACTTTATATGGAGTACTACTTGTACACAAAGCACACTTCTTAATAAGCCTAAAATGTATTTTAATGTCACTATTGATGAGGATTGTATGAGGATTTTTTTATAATATTAGTCTTTAGATGCAGGATATTCAAAATGTACATAAAGTAAACTTGCAATAGTTCCTTGTTATACTTAAGTATATATTTAGTTGAACTTCAGCACTACTTCCACACAATTAAAGTGCATTAAGTTCAAAACTAGTTGCTCCAGTTTAGCAGATTGTAAGTATACCAGTTTAGCATACCAAAAGTACAAATGCAGTGTATTTTTATTAAGCACATGTATTTGTAATATACCTACAGTATCAATGTATTTCAAATACATTTAGGTTATTTTTTTTCACTAGGGATATCAAAGGGCTTGTCTTTTTTTCAGATAGTCAACATTGTTATTGTTGACTAAAACTATTAACAGTTTTTTTAATAAATTGCATTAAAGCTCAAATTAAATTAAATATAAATATTATATGAAAAACTTAAAATAACACCAGTAGCCATTAGTTTGGAAATGATGGCTATGCTTTCCCGGGCCGCTGAGAGTGTCGGGCTCGAGTGGAATCTTCCACCGTGTCCCGAACCCTCAAGGTTGGATGATTGGTTTCTCGGGGTGGCGCGCGCTGGTTCTCAGGGCCCCACCCCAGTGCCTTTCTTCCCGGAGGTGCATGATGAGATCGCTGGGTCATGGGCGGCACCTTCCACTGCCAGAAACCGGCCCAGTGGCTCATCCTCCCTCACCACCCTCGATGGGGGTCCAGCGCAGGGCAGCCGCCCCGCCCGTCCAGGCCCCCGCCATACCTGGTGGTAAGCGAAGGAGCAAGAGGCCCTGAGACGGGCGACCCAGAGATGGAGGGAGTTGATCTTCGGGAGATGGTGAACGCACCACTCCCTCCCCCGGAGGAGGGCCGGGTGGAGAATCTTTTGTTTCCTTTTTTTCTGCCACTGACCTTGCGGCCAGTGGTACCCAAAGTCTCGACAAAAGAGCAATTTCTTCTTTCTCTGGGTCCCCTGAGGGGATGGGGGGTTGTGGACGATCCAGAGCCGTATCACACTCACCCTCCTCTCTCACCAGTGAGCAGCAGTGGGCGGATCGGGAGGACAAACCAACGGACTACCCACGCACCCTCTGCTCAAACGCAGGTCAGTGTTACACACACCCAGACCCCGCTTCGGACCGGCAAAGAGACGCCCGGGCCGGGTCCCTGCGTTCTTCCGCGCTGCCCCACTGCGGGTACACCTGTAGTTCCGTTGATGCCACTTGCGCGGTGTCTGGGAGCCTGACTAGAGCTACCCAGCCCGTCTCGATGGCTCCGTCGAACCGTCAGGCTCGGCTATGCGATTCAGTTCGCCCGGCACCCTCCCAAGTTCAGGGGCATCCACTTTACGTCAGTGAAAGCAACAGATGCCCCTGTCTTGCGTGCAGAGATCATAGTCCTACTGGCGAAGGACACGATAGAGCCGGTTCCTCCAGCCGATATGAGGTCGGGGTTTTACAGCCCTTACTTTATTGTACCCAAGAAAGGCGGTGGGTTGAGACCTATCTTGGACCTGCGCGTCGTGAACCGGGCCCTTCACCGGCTCCCGTTCAAGATGCTCACGCAGAAATGCATCTTCAGGTGTATCCGTCCCCAAGA